CAACCTATACAACCATGAGACCAGACGAACTAGATGGTGCCCAGCTACCACTGCCATCCACTTGGAAGGGATGTAGGAGATCCTGCATAAAGAGGGAGAACAATGTGGAACAAAACTCAAAATCATTTGGAGGCAAAAAAAAAAAAGAAGGTGGGGACCAGGTTTGCTGGTCCAATAGAGCCTGGTGTAACCACTGAGACTATGGCCCCTAGCTGCCCTTCAGGTCTGGAATTGAACCCACAACTGTGGTTTCCAGCCAAACAAAGTACAGGCCAGGCATGTGAGTTAAACATTTACCTCAAGTAGACACACGCCCTGGAGAGAACAATCATGGGAGAAGGAAGGGCTGCTTATGCACAGGGAGATAGCTCAGGGTGCAGAAGAGTACGAAGGGATGGACACTGGGAGGAGGTAACTATGGGGAGGAAGTGGGAGGGGAGCTGCTGCATTGTAAATTTTGGTCAATGACATGAGACAAAGTATATGTGAACTGCTGTATGAAAAGTGAATTTACTCTGTAAATCTTCACCCAAATCCTAATTAAAAAAAAAAAAAAAAAGCTTTCAAGCACCCATCTAAGATGCACTATTAGTCTCCTCTCATCTAGAGCAATGAAAAGTGAAGAAAATCAAAGTCACCTGGAAACAATTAGTCAAAAGATATAATGGACCATGAGGATCTCAGCCTTCATGACCCTAAGACCAATAGAACTAGATGGTGCCTGGCTAATAATGCCATCCACCAGGAAAGGGATCAAAATTGGAGATTCTGGATAGACTGGGATGCGAATAACAGAACAAAGTTCAAAACACAAAAATGACCATAATTACTGGTGGGATAGAGACTGCCCTAATCCCTGAGACTATGGTCCCAGGTTATCCTTTGGTCCCAGAAATGGACTCATTTCCATGGACTGACTCTCAGCTCAACAGTAGAAAGGCCTACAAGCAGAACCCCTACTCCAGGAAGATGTAGCCCTTAGATCAATCAGCCATAATACATCAAGAGGGGCACAGGAATGCATAGATAAGGGAACAGGTAAGGTGTACTCACAGGGAAGAGAGCAGAAGAGGGGTTTTTATAGTTGAGGATTGTAACCAGTCCATGAAATCAAATATGCATGAACTGTTGAAAGAAAAACAAATATGTTTTGTAAATCTGCACCCAAATCACAATAAAAAAATTAAAAGTAAAGTGAGAATGGTCAGACTTCATCTCTCATACTTTGGTCATGCTGTCAGAAGGGACCAGTCCCTGGAGAAGAATTATCATGCTTCATAAAACAGAAGGTCAATGAAAAAGAGGAAGACCTTCAATGAGATAAGTATGACACAGTGGTTTCAACGATGGGTTCAAACATGGCAATGACTGTGAAAATGGCTCAGGACCACGCACTGTTTCATTCTGTTGCACAGAGTCATTCTGAGTCTGACAGCACATAACAACCACAGTTCAATTACCCAAACTACTCCCTTCCCATGAGAGTACACTCTAAGAAATGTAAAAAGTAGTATGATCCATACCTCTAAGGATTATATAAACACCAAACCAAACTCACTGCCATCAGGTTGATTCTGACTCATAGCAACCTTTCCTTGGGTGTCCAAGGTGGTATCTCTACAGAAGTAGGTTGCCCAGTCTTCCTTCCAAGGAGTAGCTGGTGGGTTTGAACCAAAAACCTTCTGGTTAGCAGTCAAATGCCTTAGGCACTATGCCACAGAGATCCTAAGGAGTATATTAATATTAATAGACCCATATCTGAGTGACCATCCTATGCCTAGGCACTGCTCTACTTAGATGGCTGGAAAATGAGAAGACAATGTACCTTAGGCCTTCTAGGAGTTCCTCTAGGTATCTACTCCTATAATGAAAGTACACATTGCACCAGTGATCTAAAAATCCTCATTTGAAATAAAAGATTTGAAATAAAAAAGTTTCTTTATCATACCACAATCCAATAACTGATAAACCTAGGACAGGGTAAGTATTTCTTCATGCTCTTCTACCCAACTATGGAATTCCCCAATTTACAAAATTTATTCATAGCCTACCTGCTACAATGGCTCAAACTACTTATGGTATTGCAGATGGAATGTCAGCCCATCTTGCTAAAGTTGTACTGTTGTTATTGTTGTTATGTGCCGTCGAGTCGAGTTGTACTAGACAACATAAACCCAACCAAACTCACTGCCATCGAGTCGGATCCAACTCATAGTGACCGCTCCTTAGGTTTCTGAGGCAGTATCACTATGGAAGTAGATTGCCCAACCTTTCTTCTGAGGAGTGGCTGGTGGGTTTGAACCACCAGCTTTCTGGTTAGCAGTCAAATGCCTTAGGCACTACGCTACCAGAGCTCCCACTAGACAACATAATAGCTCTTAATTTCCTTCTGGCCCAGCAAAGAAGAATCTGCTCCGCTACCAGTAGTTCCTGTTATACCTAAATAAATACCACAAGAAAAATAGAACAATAAATCAAGAAAATTCACCAAAATATTATTTAGTTGCATTTAATACCTCCTATGCTTGACTCTGCTTTCTAAAGTATCTTTAGTTAATTATCAAATAGTTTCAGTACTTGGTTACCTTCTATATTAAAACTGTCTAATACTCTTAATCTCTTTATTAATTATTCTAGGGGTATTACACAAAGTATCTGTCTAATACTGGCACTCAAACTGAATCTTCCCTTGCTAAGCAGTTATGTATTTTAAGGAAACCAAATCCTTAGAAGAAATTGACCCCACTCTTTGATTCTTACCTTTTATTATATATGTACTCCTTTTCTTAAACCTCCAGCAGTAATTAGACTTTTGTTTTCCTGAGCATTTCGTGTTGACTCTCACTATGTGAGTTCACACTGAATTTGTTCCTGCAATATGGTCTTGCTTGCTGCAATAACCTCAAAAGAAGCTACTTACACTAAAGGTAAGACTTAAGTGAAAGGAATAACGAAGAACAGCTCCATGGCTAGATAATGTAAACCAAAGCTCCATAAAGAAGCAGATAATGTCCTTGCAGAAGAAAAAAAAAACAAAACCCACTGCCATCCAGTCAATTCCAACTCATAGTGACTCCCACAGGGTTTCCAAGGCTGTGAATCTTTACAGAAGCAGACTGTCTCTCTTTTGCCCGCAGAACAGCTGGTAAGTTTGATCTGCCAACCTTTTGGTTATAAGTCAAATGTTTTATGGAGAAGAAAACTTACTCCTTTGTAAGTGATCAATGTCCTCTAGTGGTGGGGAGGGTGGGGCTTGATCAAAAAGAGGGAATGTGTTGGAAAATATCTAAATTATAGAAGACTTCAGGTCAAACTTTTCAGTGAACGGTTAACCAGCATCACTCTTAGGAAAACAAAGGGAGAAGAGAGGAGAGAGATGGTTATTCTCAGAAGGCATGTACCAAGATATTTCAGGAACCACGTAACAAAAATGTTCTTTGAAACTGCTTGCACAAACTGCTCTCTGGAAATGTATGTTTTATAACAGGTTAACTAATATGAAGACAGACTAGTTTGCGAGATAATTGTGGGTTAGTCATGCTGCATGGTTTGTATATAAGTGCTGCCTTCTGCTCAGTAGATTGAGCACTCTGTACTTTCATTTTGTAGTGCCCACTTTTACTTGTATATTCCCTCAATAAAACTCATTATCTTTTCTAATCCAACTAAGTATGAGATTTTCTTTGACAAATGAAATAGATGTCAATTTTGACACATGATAAACCAAAACCAAACCAAATTCACTGCCATTGAGTCAATTCTGACTCATAGCAACCCCAACTGGATTTCCAAGGCTGCAAATCTTTACAGAAGCAGACTGACTCATCTTTCTTCCATGGAGCAGCTGGTGGGTTCGAACCACCGACCCTTTGCTTAGCAGTCCAAATGCCTTAACCACTACACCACCTGAGCTCCTTAGACACATGTTAAGAAATTAATAAATGGTATGATTACATTAAAATGTATTAACAAAGAGTAAATACCAGGCATTGTACTGAGCACTTCACCTGGATTATTTCATTGAATCCTCACAACAATCCTGAGGAAATTACTAGCAATATTTTCATTTTAGAGACGAAACAGAAGCTCAAATATGTTAAAGTTACTCAAATCATAATGCACCAATTTAGTGGTGCATTTAATGGTCATCTAATGGCGGAACTCATGCTTGCTACTCATTACATTATAATACCGCTTTTTATACACAAATTCAGCTTATATTCCGTTAGCTACAAGCATAGCCATAAAGCTCTTTTCTTTTTTCCTTAGCATAACAATTTCACCTTGCGACTCAGTGACATAAGCTGGAAAGTCTAACAAATTTCCGGAAGTACCTGGGAGAATCAACAGGCATTTCACCTTGTAAAGAAACACATCCTGAGCCCACAAAACACAAGTAGTGCTGAGCTAACAATAAACAAAAACTAATAAACATTATTTCATTTGAGCCTTGGGCAGGAAGTAGTTTTTTCGCAGTACAAATGATTTTCGTTTTTTCATTTGTCCATGGAAACGCTCAGGTACGCCTACCACTCCTCAGTTTCTCTTAAACGCCACAGTGCTTTGCCTCCTCCAGTGATCTGCCCTTGGCTCCAGTTTCTCATCCAGCCCAGTGCTCTCCTTCCTCTCTCCCGGGGCACTTTCCCTGACGCCCGGGGTTCGCCTCAAAACCGAGTGAGTCCGTGAGGAACGTCTTCCTTCCCAGGACCTCCTCAGCTTCCCCTTCTCCTCGCCCCGCGCCGTACACGAGACAAGCCTCGCGGGTCTGGGATCGCCTTGCACGGCTGAGGCTGTCTCCCGGGTCCAGAGTCGCCTCGCAAGTCCAGAGTCGCCTCGCAAGTCCGGAGTCACCTCGAGCCTCGCCCGCGGAGGGACCAGGGCGGCAATCGTGCCTGTCGGTCAGGCGCCTGTCCCGGACAGAGGCTGCTACCGCCCGGTCGGCACCGCGGAGACCAGTGACACCACCACACATACACCCGGGCCCTTCTAGACTCACGTACCTTGTCGTTGTCCAGCCGTGTCTCCAGAATCTTATGCAGCTTCCGCGACAACGGATTGTTGGTTTGCACCGAGGTCCCGCTGGCCCCATTGTTAAGGCCGTTGGCAGCCACGGACGGAGACATTGCGACTACTTCCCCACTACCCTCGGCCATAACGCCCGACGTCAGGCACCCCTAGCCGGTGCACCCACCTCAACACCAAGCCGGGTCCAGCTCTCGCTGCGCCCACTATTACGCATGCGCCCAGTGTGCGGCGCATGCGCGCCAGGGTTGTACGGCTGCTGGGGCTGAAACTCCTATTAAGTGTGAGTGGTCACCTAGAAAGGAATGGGCAGGGAGGCTAAAAAGGGCACGTCGCTGTCGGGAGGAGGTAATTAATGTAAAACTGACTTGGTTTAGACTTGAAGGCCGGCTGATTTGGGAAATTAAGATTTGTCAATTTACAAGATTATAGTCACTTCTTGGCCACAGCCAGCTACCCAGGGGAAGCAAGTAGTTGGACCTGTGAGCTCAGGACCATAGTCACAGGGGACATCAAGCTCAATTGACATAACATACTACACAAAACATTGTTCCACATCCTACTTTTGTGAGTAGCAACTGAGATCTTGAAAGCTTGCAAGTGGCCATCTAGGTGCAACAATAGGTCTCTCCTCATCCAGAGCAGACAAGAATGGAAAAAAAAAAAAAGGCACATGGAAACAGTCTAAGTGACTGGTGTGATCCTCAGCCTATACGATTATGAAACCACAAGAACCAGGTGGTGCCTGGCTACCACTATCAACCACTCTGAAGGGGAATCTCTGGAATCTCTGTAGGAGATCCTGAATAGAGTGGGAGAACAATGTGGAACAAAAATCAAAATCATTTTTTAAAAAAGGACCAGGTTTGCTGGTCTGATGGAGCCTGATGGAACCACTGAGACTATGGCCCCTAGCTGCCCTTCAGGTCTGGAATTTAACCCACTTCTGTGGCTTCCAGCCAAACAAAAGAGAGGCATTTGAGCTGAACATTTACATTAGGTAGACATACTCCTGGAGAGATCAGTCATGGGAGAGTAGAAGGGCTGTGTGTGCACAGGGAGACAGTTTTGGGGGCAAGAATGTATGGGAGGGAAGGACACAGGGAAGAGGTAACTATGGGGAGGAAGTGGGAGGGGAGCTGTTGCATTGTGGTAAATTGTAGTCAATGTCATGAGACCAAGTGTATGTGAGCGGATGTATGGCAAGTGAATTTGCTCTGTAAACTTTCACACAAATCACAATAAAAATTGGGAAAAAAAATTGTCAGCTTAAAAGAACTTCAGAATGCTATATTTATAAGGAGGGAGCTCTGGTAGCATAGTACCTAAGGCACTTGACTGCTAACCAGAAGTCTGATGGTTCAAACCCACCAGCCACTCCTCGGAAGGAAGGTTGGGCAATCTACTTCCGTAGTGATACTGCCTCAGCAACCCAAGGAGGGGTCGCTATGAGTCGGGGCCGACTCAACGGCACATAACAACAACAACAACAACATATTTATAAGGGAGCTCTGGTGGCATAGTGCCTAACTTAATTAGATATCAAATATGAGATACAGGGAGATCTGTGCCGGGAATGTTGTTTCAGTAAAAATTGATTCGAGTTCAAATTTCATAACTCTCATTATTTAGCATGTATATCTGTTGATGGTCAAGCTCTGTACTTATTCTTGTTGCATGCTGTTGAGTCCATTCAGACTCATAGTGACCCTATAGGGCAGTGTAGAACTGTCCCATAGGGTTTTCTAAATTGTAGACTTTATGGAAGCACACTGCCACATCTCTCTCCCAAGGGAATGGGTAGGTTTTAACTCCTTTTCAGTTACCAGCAGAGCATGCCACCAGAGCTCAATCCTTTATATCCGAGTATTTTGCAAGGAAGGGACAGTACCATGTGATTAAAACCAGTTGCCATCTAGTATATCCCAACTCTTGGAGACCCTACATGTGCTAGAGTAGAACAGCACTCCACAGGATTTTTATGGCTGATTTTTCAAAAGTAGAGTGTCAGGCCTTTGTTCTGAGGTTCCCCTGGGTGTATTGGAACATCGAACTTTTCGGTTAGAAGTTGGATACTTAATAGCTTGTACTACTGGGCTACTCTATCATGTAATTGTTATTAGTTGTCCTCCAGTTTGTCCTTCACTCATGGTGAAGCTGTGCACAACAGGATTAGAGAGCTATGATCCATAGGATCATTTAATAGGAGCTCAGGTAGCGTAGTGCCTAAAGCACTTGACTGCTAATCAGAAGGCTGGCAGTTCAAACCCACCAACCACTCCTTGAAAGGAAATTTGGGCAGTCCACTTTCATAGTGATACCACCTGGAAACCCAAGGAGGAGTCTCGATGGCACATAACAACAACAATTATCTCCTGAGTAAATCTAGCTAAAGAAGGATTCACAAGGTTATGTAACAAATCACAGATCACACTGAGTCCCAAAGTAGTGCAAACAATTAACTGCTGGCTGCTAATTGAAAGGTAGGAGATTCAAGACCACCCAGAACAACCTCAGAAAAAAAGACTAGATCTACTTTCAAAAATTCAGTCATTCAAAACACTATGCAGACACTGGAATGTAATTCAAAGCTATGCATGAAAAGAAAGATCCCTAATGAAAGGAGAAGCATGGAGAAATATGAAGCTAGTAATGAGGTAGTCATGCTTGATTAAATGTTTTGTCTTTCTTGTTTTTAAATAACAAATATATAAAAAGCAAAAACAAAATTATGTTACAGGCCACAAGATATATAAAAATGTAATCACTGATAACAATAAAAGCAGGGAGAGGAGTGGTATAGATACAGAGGTTAAATTGGTACCAACTTACCCTAGAATGTTATAAATGCAAGCTCTTAAATGTAATATTTATGGTAACTACTAAAGAACATATTAAAAACATACACAAAAGGAAAGGAGACAGGAACCAAAAAGACTCACTATAATAAACCATTTTGTATTCCTTCAAAAGGAAATAGAAAGAACACATTGTACCCAAAAGAGTTGGTCAGTGTTCAGCCATTTCAGGAGGTAGCATGCGATCAAGAACCAATGGTACTGAAGGAAAAAGTACAAGCAGCACTAAATGAATTGGTGGTAAACTAGCCTCCAGGAAATGACAGAGTACCAACTGAGATGTTTCAACAAACAAATGCAGTGCTAGATGCACTTACTCATTTATGCCAGGAAATTTAAAAGATAGCTACCTGGACAATTGACTAGAAGAGATCCTATATTCCCATTCCAAAGACAGGTTATGCAACAGAGTGTGGAAATTATTGAACAATATCGTTAATATCACATGCAAGTAAAAGTTTGCTAAAGATAATTCAAAAAACGTTTTCAGCAGCATATTGACAGGGAACTTCCAGAAATGCAAGCTGGATTTAGAAGAGGATTTAGAATGAGGGATATCATTGCTGATGTCAGAAGAATCTTAGCTAAAAGCGAAGAATACCAGAAAGATATTTACCTGTGTCTTATTGACTATGCAAAGGCGTTTGACTTGTGGATCATAATAAATCATGGATAACACTGCAGTGACTAGAAATTCCAGAATACTTAATTGTGCTCATGAGGAGCCTATACATAAACCACAAGGCAGTTGTTCGAACAGAACAAGGGAATA